CCAAAGAGGCTCACTTCTAGAAAAAGATGCACCATTTTTCAATTGAAGGTGGAGGGAAGCCATGCCTCTATAAAGGGCGGCTAAAAATAATGAACAGAGGTTTAAAGACCTACCGTGCGCTAATTCATGAGCCATGGGCTGATAACTCATGAAAGGTTTCATGCTGGGCACACAAAGAACGTATTTACAACGCCCAACCTGAAGAAAGGCCACACGCTAAGAACGGAAAGGTTCAGCGCTAGAATTATTATCATTTCTTGTACAAACCTGAAGAAAGGCCACACGCTAAGTACGGAAAGGTTCAGCGCTAGAATTATTATCATTTCTTGTACGCCCGAATAGGAATTAGTAAGTTTCTTGTCAAATTTTGGGACAGCAGCAGTAACCAGAATGCCAGGAAAAATGGTGTCGTCCAAGGGCAGAAGGTTTACTAGGGCTCCAACATCCCTCTAGGTAATATACATTGGGCCAAGGGGGAAGATAAAAGTATTGTACTCAGAAGATCAAAAACTTAAAGTAATGGGGAAAATTACCGGGTCATGAATTGGGGGATGGAGAACGATTTCTAATAAATTCGAAATTCTAGCACGATCAAAAATCGCCTTAGTAGGGACTTGATTTACCATACGTGTATGCCACATACGAAAAGTAGTGTCAGCTTTAGGCTAGGTACGAATACCTTTCTCGCGAATAGGCTTCAATGGTAGAGAGTTCAAAAAAGAGGGGTCTTAAGTGCAAGGCAATTGCTGACCCACCGCCGTTTGTCTAATAGATTCAACATCATTAAATGACGGACCCAGATAAAATTCATGGAGGTCAGGGTTGGCTGGTGAAAGAAAAATTGAATTTATATACGGGTTGGTAAGGAGGTTTTGGAAATCCTCGAAATTGAGAGAGTTGTCGGAAGGAGTTTGTGAAGTCGCCATTTGATACAAAATGCAGTCTTTGTGAAGATTGCTTAAGAAGCGTAGTAGAGAATCAAGAAGATGAACAATGCAATCAACAGTGAGAGAGAAGCACGCAATGTAAAGACGTGGGTGTAATGGTGCGATGAAGTGGTGTGTCCTTTGGTTTGTAGGGATATGTGTGTTACACTTTTCAGGATGTAGAAGGTTACCGCAAGACGGAATAATAGTTCGAATTCTCCGCCCTTTTGGAATTTCAGGTATTTTCAGAAAATACAAAGGAAGAATATGAGATAAGATTAATATTTGATATTAATTTTGCTATATTAGGGGCAATTGTTGACTTACAAAAATGAGGTCCAATTAAATGGTCCAAGAAATGAAGTCCAGATAGGGAATTTGAGGGATGGGCCCAAATGAGACCATTGTAAAATATAGTGGAGGCCCATAAACGGAAGACTATTATCACCCAAGCCTACAGGACGCCGAGGATCAAAGCAAATGAAGTACCTTATTGTTACACAGAGCGACGATCCCATTCTCGCCCAAGCCTTCGAGATACCCAAGATCTGAGTGAATATAGATTCTTTTTGTTATTTAAAGCAGCGGTTATTGAAGCAATTATTGAGCAATCTTATCACGTTCCACAATCCAAGAATCTCGGTTGCAAGCAGTTAAAAGAAGGGAGTAATAGCAGCAATTTAAAAACGGCGATTCCCTGACACGTCAGCCACTATGAAGCAAGTGGGGAGTTATAGAGCGACAAGCAGTTTCCAAACGGTTTTACAAGGAAAACTGACAAAGGAGTATAAAAGAAAAAATAAGACATAGAAGAAGGACCCGAATCAATCACTCTCAAACAGAGAATTATGTAATTACATTTCGTTTAGTTCTTAATGTCAACTTTCAAATTAATTTGTGTACTTGTGCCCCTTAGAGGCATTTTGTTTCTTGTTAATTGTAATTTTTATAAATAAAACATCCCTCGTTGGGACTTTGTTTCGAGAGGTTTGTTTCTTATACAATCGTCTAAATCATCTTTTAATTATTAGCGAGGCACGATAATCCGCGCGAAACAGAATCAATTAGAAATAAGTCGTTAAATGATCGTAAATTGTCATTAAACAAAAAGATCCAAGTAACCTCAAGGCCCAAAGAAAACTCTATAAATAGTCACGTCCAAAAGAGAGAGAAAAAAAGAAAAAGAAAAGGATGCAATCTCCATTCCATATGCCATTTCCCCTCTTGTTANGAGAGAGAGAGAGAGAGATTAAATGATTTTTGTTTGTGTAGTTCAAATTTCAAGAATACAGGGGATGAAGTGGAGCTTCGAAAAAAAAAAATAGTCAATTACATTATTTAAAAATAATAAATGGCAATTGAAAATATTAAAAGTGTTGTAACTCTTTAAATCAACATGTTTGATGTATATTTTTTAGAATAAATTTGAAAGATAATGATTTTTTTAAGAATATGAGATTAAGCTCTGTTTGATATCATTTATTTCAAAATTCCTTTTACTATATATTAATTTTCGATCACACATCCATACAACAAAATATTCTACATGCCAACTCAATTTTTTTCTACTTTTTAAACACTAAAATATTTTACATATAAATCCAATTTTTTTCAACTTTTTAACTACACAATCTCAAAAAATTCATCAAAACTTTGTTTTTGGCAAATAAATGATATCAAACAATTGGTCATTCTTGTTTGGTGTAGACATTAATCAAATTAAAATTTCAAGTAAAGTCAATATTTAATTTTAACAACACATTTTATGAAACTCACAATTTTTTATTCATGCATTTATTGACTTTTATCAAAATCTACTAAAAATCTTATTTTAATCTATACTAAATAGGGGCTAAAAGTAAAGAAAAGTTATGAGTACACATACACAATTATTTTATTTATAGAATGTATAATTAATGAATTTGGAGAAAAAAGAATTTAAAAAAATTTCCATCAAACATATTCCAGTGGTCTAAACAAAAAGGTCAAGATCTTGGGTCTACTGGAAGAGTGGAAAGTTCTACATTGACGGTGGAGGTTTGATCCACACCTATATTCCCTCCTCCATGTAGTAAAATAAAAAAAAATAATACTATCTTTGTTCGTTAAAGATATACTTATTTTATTTTCACACAAATTAAAAAAATATAATTAATATAGTTAAAAATATATTTTTTTTCTTACATTTTCCTTGATATACCTCTATATTTGTTGATGATACTAACAAAAATTACACCTGATCAATTCCGAGTTTGACGACTGATAACTTACACGAATGCGATCTTCCGGTACCTGAAATAAAGGCGTCGAGATGTGTCCTCGTCGCCGCTCCGATGTTTAAATCAGAGAGAGAATAGAGAGAAAATATGTGCTGAAAATATATGTAAAAAATGTACCTCAATAATGGTCCCAAGTCATATTTATAGGGCTGGGCGGTAGTTCACTCCTTGTAGGACTTGATCTCCTTATTTTCATGAATGATTGTCGGGGTGAGTGTTTGATTGTGACTAGGAGTCTAGACCTTCTTTATTTGAGGTGTTTCCTGGGGTAAACACCTTCTGGACATGGGACTCTTGAGTAGAAGCGATTTGGATAGGGTGAGAATTCTCTAGCCATGAGGATTACTGATGTACGACCATGTAGTACTTTGGGGGTCATAAGGAGAAGTACCAAACTCGTACATCCCGAGGACACCCAGAATGACATTCCGAGGGTTTTACGTTTGATGAGTCCTCGAGAGTATGCCGAGGAGTTATATGCCCGAGCACTAATGTTCTTAAAATTGGTAATGGAAATCAAGTGCTGTACTCGAGCTCGAGGGTAGCCACAACCCCACATCAGATGATAATAAGATATATTAAATAGATATTTATTAGAAAATGAAAAGATATCTATAGTTTTAATAAAGTGTCATATAATTTGGGATAAACGAAAAATAAAATAAAATCAAGCATATCTTTATGGGATGAAAGTGGTATGATATTAATTTGGTGTATAAGACTTTTTTGACATTTTGATCACCAATATATTGTCTTAAAAACTTTAATTAATTGGTAATTTGAATTAAGACCAAAAAAAATGTCTTTAAGTGCATTTTATGCAACGTATGTGACACTTTTAATCGTGCTCTTCAAGTATGTTTGATAGAGATTTTTTTTTTTAAAAAAAAGTTAAATTAAGTTGTACTCTAAGGGTTTTTTTGATTGCAATAATGAAATTTGGGTGGAAAGAAAAATGAATTCAACGGAATTGAATTGCCTAAAACTTGTTTTATTGGGAATTATCAATTAATTGTATTTGATTGGTATAATTTTCTATCTAAAGATATTGAAATTTTAGATCTTTTGGTATTCGTTTGGCTTTATATTTCATGAAAATTGTCCATTAAAGGGATATAATTTGTTTCAATTGCCAAAAAAAAAAAAAAAATCTGCATTGAAAAGCTTTTCCCACCAAACTCGTGGGAATAGCTTTTCCTCAAAAATCAAGAAATGTGGAAAACCAATTCCACAGAAAATTTAATCAATCAAACGTGCAAAAATGTGGAAATGAATTTTAATTTTCATCTTCCACAAAAAAGAAAGAGCAATCAAACACTAAAGGTATGTTTGCTAGATTTTTTTTTTTTTTATAAAATTAATTTTTCTCGAAATAATTCTCAATCTCACATTATATGGAACTCATAATTTTTCTCTACTTTTAACTACGAATTAAAAATAAATCATTTTCACTCAATTTTGTTGTTCCAAATAAATGCTAATCTCTATGCAAATAAAGACTTTACACTTCACGGCTTACGCTTTCTACGACGAGTAATTAGTGTCGCACACAACCAATTAGAACACAACACTTGGCGATCTCTCCTATGGAAATGTACCAAATTCACTGTATGGCATTCTCTTACAAAACATTGAGGAATAGTTTGAGCAAAACTATCAAACATACAATAAAATTAATCACTATTTTATTAAAATATATTAATACATGTAATGTATTTTCATAGACATGATCTTGCTAGGGAAGTTCAATCCCGCGAGCTCTTCTATTTGAACTTAGTTCCATATTTTTCTGACGTCACACTCGAGTCAAATTATTGATCAAGAAATTTTGCGTTTTCTTCTCGTAATAGAACCCATTGGAGATCGAAGCATCAGCAGAGAAAATCATGGCCCCACTAATATTAAACCCGTTATTTTCCACTAGTTTCAAAGCATCAAAAAATGCATCCCCTTGTATCCCTCTCCCACTCACTTCATAACTAGGTAAAACCTTGTTTTTGTCGAACTGTTGTGTCCTATTTCTAAAAGCTTCCAAATATGTTTCTGGGGTTTTAATTATATCTGTATAAAACTGATAATTCACATAATCAATGTAATCTCCAAATCTTGTGTGGAGCTCAATGTATGGAATGACAGTGCTGTAAAATGGTGCAATGGTTGCCACGGAAATCACACCCTTATTCTTTAGAAGAGCAATGACTTCTCCAATGCAATAAGCAAAACTTTCATGATGTTTAGGGAACCTTTCATAGTCGATATCGATCCCATCTAGTCCATAAGTTTCGACAAGTGACTTTAGCGAGGAAGATGCATTCAATATCCAGACGTCCTGGTCTTCTGGGTTGTACCAGGAGAGTACTTTTTGTCCAAGGCTCCAGCCCGAGAGGCTTGCGAGGACTTTTACATTGGGGTAGATGTATTTGATGGATTTTACAGCCTTCGGAGTAAGGGTTGATACGCAGTATGGGGAGAATGTGCCATTTTGGGGATTGCCTGAAGAATCTGCGTCAATGGCGAAACTGAGTATGAAGTGGAAATCAATGCTTTGTGAAATTGGAACTGATGCGAATTCTATATCAACTCCTGAGGCTCCAATGTACTCCATCAGCACCTTTCCATCTGGAATCACAAATGGATATATTCCTCATTTTTACAGAAAAAGATTCAAGAAAATCATTTGTGATGATAGTTTATTTATTTATTTTTGTTCACTTTAAGACTTTTGTTCACGTGCTGTTTGAAGTCAATTTTCCTTTAAGAGTTATGATACACATACACCTATCTTTATATATAGTTTGACACTCACTTGAGTTGGCAGAATTCTATACATCGATTTTAACAATACCTTTTCCAAAAAAATGGCCAGATTTTTAACACATAAGCCGGTGTCAACAAGGGTGGCAAAAATGTGTGTATAAATGACATAATCCTTCCTTTAAATGCCCAACAAGGTACACAATTTTCGGGTGAAAGTGAAACTTAAGCCATTAGAGATGGACAAATTCTTCAAGACTAGAAAAGAATTTGAATACAAGAGAATGGCTTGGAATCTTATGCATGTTTGGATAAACTTAATTTTTTAAAACATAATATATACACTTTATAGACAAACTGACATTCTTCCCTTCTTGCAGATGTATATATACACACACTTTAGAGCTAAGGATTTGTGTACTTACCACAGAATTGTAAAAAACTGGCACCAAATGTGATGATAAGATGGAAAAAGATCTGAAACTTGGCCATTTCGTTGGCTGAGATCGATACGTAAAGTGAAAACAACGATGTCTTATTATGCCCCTGTTTGGCCCCCATTTTTTGGGATTGAAAATTTGCAGAATAGTGATTGATGGGAAAATATGTGGTGGAAAAGTTTTGGATTTGTGTATAATATTATTTTATTTGAGAATGTGTGATTGAGATGAAGAGAGAGAAAAAATTAATGTAATTGAATGAGAAAAAATGGGACTCAAACGGGGGCTATATAAAACTGTTGCCTAATTTGTCACTTACCCAGCACCAAAAAAATTTGCCGGCCTTTACAAGTAAATTCGGACAAAGATAGAATTTGCGGGTCTTGACAAGTAGATTCGGACAAAGATACGGCCTTGGGACGGAGCAGGGGAGGGCCATGCCTGGGCATCTAAATTTATGTAGTTTTTTTGTAAGATGGTGGTGTAAACTTGCTCGGCATGTCCATGGATCGAATCCACACCTAACTTGGATCCTAATTGACCAGATATTAGTACTAAATATTTTATATATATTTCTTTCAATCATAATACAGTTTCACATAAGTTGACATAATGTCACATGATATTTTATCATTGAATTATTTAAAATACAATCAACTTTTCTGTCAAATCATTTGCTGCAACCTACACTTTTAACATTGCACGTGTCAAAATCCTTTTGACAAAGTAGCATAATCTTGTTTATTTTAGGAGAGTGGAACTCGGTTAGGTGGACTAGGGAGGAGTGACCGAACCTGCTAAGAACTAGATAAGACCAGCCGAACATGATTCTAGTCTAGTTTTCAATTGGGAAAATTAGGCACAGTACGGCATTTGAAAAGAAAAATTGAAGAATACTCTAAATTAATGTTTTATCACTAAACCTTTAAATTAACAGTAATTAATACGCTAAAAAACACCCAAACTTGATGAATAGAAGTCATTTTGCTAAAATAACAAAACACTCCTCCCAGTTGAACCTCCCAGTTGAAGAAGAAGAAGAAGCCAATTTTGTCAAAAATCAACACCAAGTAACAGTGACAATTTTCAGCCATCTATCTCACTTCTATTTGAATTCAATGATTATATTTAGTTTAAACCTTATAGTGTAAATAATTAACATTTATAAAGTTTCTTTTTGATGATTTTGTTTGGAAACACGTTTGAAAAAATAGCTTTGAATCAGTTAAATTTTTTATGCATGTAAGGTGTTTGACAAAAGGATAATGTGAATNCCTTTCCCAATTTTTGAAATATGTCACTTTTTTTGAGTTTATGTCATTTTTTTACTTTTTTATGTTGCTTTTTTTGAGTTTATGTCTCTTTTTAAAAAAGTGACAATTTTTATAAAAAAGTGACATTGTGTCACTTTTTTCATTTTACACAGTATTTTTTACTTTCTAAAAATCTTTCGCATGATTTTTCAAAACACCCCTAATTTTAAGGGTATTTTTGTAAGTACCCCTTTTCAATTTGGCATGCTATTTGGGCAGATTGTCTCAAGATTGGACGATTCAGCCCAACGGACCATGAGGAACCAGCATGGAAGGCCGGGATTAATTTTAAGAAACAAAGAAAAAACTCATCTTTGGAAAAACGACAGAATATTTGAACTAAAGCTGTGAAAGTACGTAACTATGAAATATATCGCTCCATTTTGTGTATATCTTACTATAGGTCTAAAGCTAAGACTATCTTTAATGTATTTTATGAATTGTTCTTTAAATGGCATGCAAGTTTAAAGATTTTCGATGTACCAAGCATTGATTTCTAATTAATAGAACTCAAATTAAGTCCTTATTTGACAACCGTTACATATTCATTTTTAACCACACATTCACACAATAATATATTCTGCTCGTAAATCCAAAAAATTTTCTTACTTTTTAATCACACGCTCTTCAAAAATTCACCATTCAAAACACTGTTTTTCTAAAATAATTTCCATCACACGAGCTAAAAATTAATCATCAATGTAGTCTATCTACAACTCAATAATATTGGGCCTATCATGACCCAATAGACATTACGAGTCTGTCTGCATTTTTGATTGTTCATGTAATTTTTTGATATCATCACCAACAATTTTGATTAAAGACCTAAATCAACGTTAGAAAAGTGAAAAAGAACATGAGCAGTGCTAACTGCATTACATGTTCAAGCCCATAATTGGTGAGAGAAAAGAAAAAAACTTAAAAATAAAAAGAAATTTGCTAGACTTTTCATAGATTGAAATGGAATTAGTTTTGACTTAGCTCTTGTTTGGTTTTGATTTTCTGAAAAGTGATTTTTCAATAGAATTTGTCGTTAAAAGTTAGAGAAATTTATGATGTAAAATTATTTTATCGGAACAACATAAGGTTAAAAATGAATTTGAGAAAAAAACGATTTGAAAAAAAAATAAAAATCAAACAAGGACTTAATTCTTAACAACATGATTTAGAATTATATCTTGTTGGGTTTATTAATTTGTCATGGGTACATGTAATTAATTGTGTATAAAGTTATCTTAAAGCTGAGCCCAATTAAAGTGATGTAATAAAGAATTAAGCTGTTTGGCTAATGACATTTAAATAAGAGAAAATTACAACTAGACAGGACTTTAAATTTACATTTTCGTAAATCAAAAATCAAGTTTAATAATACAAAAAATCAGGTTTTGATTAAGAATTAATATTTAAATATTATAAATTAATACATCCAAACCCTAAAATTAAATTACAAACCAAATCCCTCCCCTGCATTCAACCATATCGTCTCTCTCTTCTCTTCAGTTGCCGCCCCTTCGCTCCCCTCCATTCTCTCTTCAGTCGTTGCCCCGTCCTTCCCCTCCATTCTCTTTTCAAATTCACCGTCAAGATGGTGGTTGAGGTGAGGCACGGTCGCGGTGGTGGCGGATCTGGTGGTCGCGTTGATGGCGGTGATGGTGGCCGGGGGGGTCTGGTTGCAGAGTGTTGGCTATGTTTGTTGGTGGCAGAACTTCGATGATCGATAGGTGGTTGCGGAGTGTTGGCTATGGTTTGCGGAGTGTTGGCTATGGTTGAGGTGCAGACGGTGTGGCAATGGTTATTGTGGTGTTGTGGCGAGGGGCAAAACGACGGTGGTGGTGGTTTTTTGGGTGTTGCGGTGGCGTGGTTGTGGTGGTATTGTGACGGGGGCGATGGTGGTGGTTTGGGTGGTATTGTGGCGAGGGTGGGGTAGTATTTGTGACCAATTGTTTGGTTGGTTTGTGACCAAATATTGGTGGAGGAACGAGAATGGGGTGGGGTGTTCGGTGTATGTAACCGACATTTGGGTTCATTGTGACATATTGATAAACTGTGATCTATAATGCTTTGATCCGTGACCAATGAATTAAATTGGGACCAATTAATTTGATCTTTTGTGACCAATTAATTTGATGTTTTGAAACGTAAAATAAGTCGTGTGACTTTAAAATTTTGTGATTTGTGACCGATGAACAAATTATGACCTTTAAATTTTTAATTTGTTACTGATGAACGAATTGTGACATATAAAATTTTTGAATTTTGACCAAATTGCATAAATCTGTGACCTTTATATATTTACTAATAAAATATATAATTAATTAATTAAATCATAAATAAACTTTAATGAAAACCTGATTTTTGAAATATAAAACCTCTTCTCTTAATTTTGAAATGGTGTTTACTAAAAACCTGATTTATATATTGTTACGGGTTAGTACGTGTAAGCGACACGTGGCGTCATATTTTGGCGGTGGGACCAGCTTGAT